CCTGGAATTCGCGCAGCGTGGAGATACCCCGGCCACTGACAATACCAGCGAGACCATAGGCTGCACCACGTTGAGTAGCATACTTCTTAGACTGTAAAAGTTGATCCAGCATATCCTTGACATACTGTCCGCTCTGCTGAGGGCCGCAAAGTCGGATGAGGGGTGGCAAGCACCCAGAAACTGCAGACTGCACGCTTTCCGAAGGCGTAGGCAGAGTGCCCAGAAGTTTCTTAAGGACAATCTGTAGACGAGGGTCGTCTGCTTTAAGATGCTGGGCCAAGGATCCGTACAGAACAACCACAGCCTCATTGAGCAAGTCAGAAGTCTCGCTCCCCTTGTCGGATGTTTCCAATGTAGTTTCCAGAAGTTTCATCAACTCCTCCACAACCTGCTGGCCACGTGCGGCGATGACGGATCGACCACTCTCCGCCATCTGGGATCTCACCACGGAGCTCTTGTCAATCAATGGACCCCTCTCAATCAGGAAGCGCAGGAACTCAACAATCTGCTCGCCCTCAAATAAATTTGTCATAGCACCGAGCGCGAGGGCTATACCACTGCGGAACTCCCAATGGTCGGTCAAGTCCATCTTCTTGGGCATTCCGTAGCTGTCCTTCTCAGGGACCTTGGGCTGGATCTCGATTGAATACTTCGACTGCAGCTCCGAAACGATCTCATCGAAGATAGATGGGTTTGACTCAATAGCATGGGCCAAGGCGCGAGCAGCAGCACCGCGGAGATGCGAATCCTTCGAGGCGAGATAGGGAATGATCTTTCCATATGAGGAGTCATCAACCTCCAGCGCGTTTTCTTCCCAGATATTCTCAGCGATTTCTGCATTCTCTTCTACATGATCATGGCATTCTAGCCAGATGTGCTCCGAGAAATCGAGATCGGTCAAATCGATTTCAGCTTCGATGACTTGCAGCACAGATGTACGAACAGACACCTCAGAGACAATTGTGCCCTTCAACAGAACATCCAGCTCGGCTTGAGTGATATTGGATGAAATATACCGGCAGAAGTCGAAAAGGGTGTCCTTGATCAACTTATAGTGTTGAGTGTACCTTTGCATTGCTGACAGCAAGTGGTTCAGAACCTCAACCCGAGGGAGGCGTTCGTCGGTAACTGTACATATAAAATCAGTTCCACAAAATCAGGATTCAAGTCGGATCATGGGTCTTACAAGAGCTTGAATGGAAGGACAAAACTTCTATGGCAAGGAGAACTTGCTCGCCTTCTTCTTCCCCCTTCTGTTCCTCAATGCCGTTCCGATCGAGGATCAAGAAGAGCAAGGGAAGAACGTATGCCAGTGACGAGATATCAAGAGGGCGTTGTTCAGAGGCGAACCGCAATCGGTACAGAATCCTGGTTACGAGTTCTACAGGCGTGTTAGTTACGTCGTATTCGAGTTCTTGCCGATAACGGTGACTTACGTCCAAGAGACTCAGATTCCATATCAGGAGGCAGATGTGTCTGGCCGATCGCGCGAAGAGTTGCAATACCCACGAAAGGCCGCAACGGACCAAGCCGTGAAGAAAGCTTCTCTGCACACTTGATATAGGCCTTGGAAACGACATCACCGACAAACAAACCTGCACCAGCCTCTGCCAATGCGAGCAAGGCGCTCACAGCAGGGTTAATCCAGCCATCTGCGTCAATTGCCGGGCCACCAGCAAGACCTTGGATAATTCCAGTTCCCCTTTCGATCTTCTTGATTTCTTCAAGGACCTCCTCACGGATCTTGGACTCCTTGGCAAGCTGAGCTTTGACCTTTGCCTGCTCATCAGCAGTAAGCTTCTTTGGCTTCTGGCCTTTCTTCTCCGCCAATTGCACACGTAGCTCTTCTTCCCACTTGAGGATATTATAGTCCTTGTTGTTCTTGTCGAAGGCTGGCTTTGATTTAGTGCTAAGGACATCGACGAACATAGTTCCCTCAGGTGTGCGTGCGATGGCGACATCAGTTGGAGTGAACTTGGAAACACGAGACACATCCAAGTCCTCCCGAATTTGGGCGACGAGTCGAGGTACCATAGCATCGGGGGCTACAAAGCTCAGTTCGCCGGCCGCGCTCCAGATAGCGGCATTCAGTCGAGGGATTTTGGACTGAACGGGATCCTACCAGCTGTTAGTAACCGATTGTAGAAGAATCAGGGCCATGCTTACCCCCTGCACGCGGGTCAATTGCTTCAAACAGTCATCTGCAAACTCGCGCACCAGATCACCCGGATCGGTACCTGTTCTGAGACACAGGGAGATCCAAGACGCATTCGGGATCAATTCAGGTCGAGAAAGGAGAAGTAAATCAACAAGCTGGCTCTTCAGATCGGCTGCGTTGTGTTCCACCGCTTGCAAGGTAGACGAGAGCGGGCAAATGGCCTTTAGAACGAGATGAAGGTGTCTTTCGCTTTCGGGACCCGCAGAGATGGGCGCGGATTCCTTCTCGCCTGTTCTGAAAGCAAGAATCCAAGCCCATAAGCCATTGGTGATGATCCGGCTGGTGCCAGCCACATTCTTCAAGTATACCTCTGTCAGTGCACGAGCAGATTCATCACGGAAGCTAGTGTGAAGTGCAGGGGCAGTGATGCTGTAAATGAAAGCCTGGGCCCATGCAGTCTTAGCTGCATCTTCGGCGCCATCAAACCTGGAGCTAGTGGTGACTGCAGTAAGTGCTCTCACAGCCCACTGGATCTCAGCTTGAGAAGTCAGCTTAGAATATGCCTTGGGGTTAAGCAAGAATGACGGCTTGGGGTTGAGCACCGTCGCCTGTGCGATAGTCTCGTCCCAAGCTGCCTTATCGAAGCTTGCGAGGGGAGAAGAGCGCTCCAATAGGGCAAGGTAAATATGAGCTGTGGACAATGATCCACCCTGAGCAGAAGGCAATGGGTTGGAGAAGACCTCATTGTATAGTTCTTTCATTTTGCCCAGATACTTGTTGACGAGCGGTTCAACCTCAGCGCTTGCCAAGGTCGACGCTTCTACCTGCCAGAATACCTCACTGACATTGAGCTGCCAAAGCTTCTTGAACGGTACGCGCTTGTCGGAAGACCCCTTCACAATTGCGCCGACGACATCGTCGTTGACCTTGACCTTGGAGTGTACAAGGAATGTCAGATGCTTGCAGAACGATTTGATTTCCTGTTCCAAGGCGGCTTCATTGGATTCACGCGAGAAAACAGGGACAAGACCTTGGACCACTTCTTTTGAAATATCGACGGAAGGCAGGATAGCAGCAATGGCTTGGGCGTACACGGCACGTTGTTCCGGATTGGTGATTTTTTGAGTCTTGAGAGGACCAACGACTTCGCTGGTGACCTTGAGCAAAAGGGTGTCACTCTTTGACTTCGAAAGCAGTGCCTCAAAGGAACGGACGGCGCCTTGTCTGATTGCGGGGTTGGCTGACTTCATACTCGACAACAAATGTTTCAAGAGTCGAGTATGTAGAAGCTCCGCAAGATCAAAATCATCTGGCAGGGAGGTGCAGAGAGATGGAAGCAAGCCGCTGAATACCACTTCGGGGGACCGCAGCATGGCCTTCTCAAAGGGCGGCGTCAACTCAGACGCAACATCTTCGTAGGTAACAAACGCAACGAAGAAGTCACCCAATGCATCGGCGACATGCGAAGGCGGAGCGGACTTAGAACCGACTAGTTCTTTGGTGTAGAAGGCGATGATGGCTTTCTTTTGCTCCTCCAGGATCGGCTTCCTGGTCGGAAGACGAGCGCAGACTCCGGAGATGACGCCAAGGAAAGGTGCATTCTTTTGACCCGCGGTAGCGTCGCTAGTCAATCGCTGAACAGACTGACGAATTGCATCCTCACCCCAGGTAGCGGAGCCGAAGACTGCACGTAGCGCACGTCTAGTGACTCGAAGGGCGGAAATTTTCACAGCCTGCTTGAAACCAGCAGCAGCCAGACAAGTATCTAGAGCTCTGGCGTCCACCGCAATCGTGTCCAGAGCGGCAGAAAGCGGCGCCGCGGGATCTTCAGCCACAATTTGTAGCACAATCGAGCACCATTCGACAAGAACCAAAGCCGGACCGGGAGCCAGTGGTTTCGTAGCCTCATTCTGCAATTTCTGGGTGAAGTATTTTAGATCTTCGGTCGGGACCGGAGCCTTGAGCAGCTCGCGGAGGCATTGCTGAACGGCCTGACGAGAGGGACGGTCGACATAGCGAGGATAAGTTGTGAATAGAAGGCCAATGACAGGCTGACGGATTTGAGAGGGTAATGTAGAAGCTGATGAAGCGAAAGCGCACAATTAGCATCTCCATAGAGCAGACGTGGTGAAGGAATGGGCAAAGCTGGACTGGAGGTTGGGCTGGTGGGCTTTTGCCGAGAGGACGAGAGGACGAGAGAGAGGACTGGCAACACTGAACACTGACCAATTCTATCGCGGAGCTCCTGGAGAGCACGGATTCTGCGAGCAGTCGAACTCGAAAAGAGAACGACCTGCAAACTCTCCAGGTTGCCGGAATCCACCTGTTCCCATGGGAAGTCGTCCATGTTATGTGGTGGACTGGAGCATGCCGGCGTGACAAGACAATGGGCAGACACACGCACAAACGAATCGGGGGGCCGATGATGTTGTCATAAAAGTTTTGCGGCGGTTGTGGGGAGGGGGAGGGGAGGGACTCGGGAGGGGAGCCAGCCCTCCCGTACAGTAAGTACTGTACAGTATAGTAACTACTAGTAACTACTACCTTGGTAACTTCCTACTCTCCAACTCTTGTGCGCGCAGTCAGTCCCTCCCGACCGGACAAGGCTATGACGATATCTCTCTTTCCAACCTTTCAGTCTCGACTCACTACTCGAAATATGTGCTTGGGCTAATCTTAACCTTAAAACTAATTTCTCCAAACTCCAGTTGAACAACAGAACCAAATCGCCATCCCATTGACCGACTGGCCTCTCTCCGTTCCTCCCTCTCTCTCTCTCTCTCTCTCTCGCTCTCTTTCGCTCGCCCGCTTCCCCTCCGTCCCCTCTCACCCACCCACCATCATGCCGCCCAATAATAGGAAAAAAAAGAAAGCTGTTTCTAATCCGGCTCGAGGTTTCGCAACGGTCTCAGTACCCTCTAAGCCCAAATCTACAGAACCTTCACTACCGCCCTCCACTGTGGAATCCAAGTCCGTATCGGAAAGTGACCGTCCTACTCCCGCCGAAAACCAGCAAGCGACCACAAACAGCGACAAGGACAAGGCACCTTCGCTCCAGGACTATACCCCCGAAGAACTCGAGAAGCACTTTGAGGAAGCTGAGCTGCAGCTCCTCGTGGAAAAATACGCAGCGAAATGCAGGAATGACGCAGCCAGACAGGTTACTAAGCTGGACACCGAGCGGAGGGTACTTCGGCAACAAGCCGCCTCAATCAATCTCTTGGAATGGCTGCCCTCGGACGTTTTGAATACCATATTGAGCCTGGTCGAGACCGAGGAGCGCGAGCTCAACCCCGTTCCAAGCCGGGATTCCAGCTCGAAGAAGCCCATCCCGGAAGAAGAGTTGTATATGAGACTGTGGACACTCAAGGAGACCCTTGTTAAACTCGGCTTTTCAGAAGAGAAAGTTGATGAGGCCTTAAAGCATCTACTGCTGTATTTCCCCGGTAATTTCACATCCACAAACAAAGAGGTGGTCTGCAACCTGGACGAGGCTCTAGATTGGCTGGCCTTGCACTGCGACCCCAAAGAACTACCTTCTTACACCCAGACTAATACCCAACAACGAAGCGAGCTCGATAAGAAAATCTCTTGGATCACTGGTAACCTTAGACGCTTGGTATCGCGTAAGGATCGGATGGCTAACTGGCACCAGATCGTGAGCCATCACAAGCTTCTACCCCAGCACAGACTCAAAGTGATAGCAGAGCGCAGAAGCCTAAGAGCGTTGTAAAAGGATCAAGTCCCTCGCAGTCGTATGCCTATGATTCGGACAGCTCCCTCGATCCTGATACTTTGACCCCCAAGTACCTGGAGCTGCAAACCCGGCTTTACGAGCTGCGGCCAGAACTTTTCGACCAGCCCAAGAAAGGCAAAAAGGGAAGCCGTAAATCTACTGCAACTGATAGTCAGGACCCGCAGGCAGCGAAAGTGCAACGCAAAATTGCTAGTATTGAAAGTGATGTACTCTTTGACCGGCATGAGGCCGAGTACAGGTGGAGGGAAAAGCTTGACGACTTGCGAAAGGAAGCAGCTTTTACTCGCCGAACCGAGCCCGAAGAGAAGGCTCCGGCCGAAGAGGTCACCGAAAAAGAGCAATCGGAGGAAAAGAAGGCAGAGCTAAATGGCGATGCAGCACCGGGTATCGGAGAAGACGCAGATTTACTAGGCGACATGTTTGGATCTGAAGAACCCACTCTGGAATTGGGTGTGATTACAGAAGAGCTGAAAAAGGCTGCGATCGAAATTCGCGACTTTGGAAAATGGTCTGGACTCAGCCCTCGACGAGTCCTGGAGGAGACCTGCAAGGCAAGGTAAGTTCATGCGCTCTTCTTCATGGACCTGGATGATGGGATAAGCCGGTTTACGAAACTTTTAGAGATACCGGATGCAAAATAACGTACAAAGACTGCTCATCATCATCGCATATGAATCGACACGCGGTTGAAGTGCGGTGGTCTAAACCCCAAGAGATCCCCTTCCCATTCCAATGGGAAAGTACTACACACAACTCGAACTCATATGCCACGTTCGTCTCAATGGATAAAGTGGCAACCCCCACATCGCAGCAAGCTGAAGCATTTGTCTCAACCCTGGCTCTTTTCATTCTGTTTCCTCAGACCTCCAAAGAGGGCAAAGCTTATCTGCGTCTTCCTGCCGTATGGCGAGATCTTTATACAGAATTCGCCAACGCAAAGAAGTTGCAAGAAGATGAGGCTGATAAGAAAACGGTGAAGAGTTTGAAAAAGCTACTTCAGGAAAATCATGGCACATTTGAAGATGACGTTGTCCTGTCAGATAATTTCCGGCGCAGGAACGGAACTTCCAGCAAGCCAGAGTCTCCCGTCCGTGGAGCCGGCGCCAGGGATGGTTCAGAGCCTGATGTGGAACTGATGAGGATCTGGACTGAGAAGTCCTCTACCGCATCATTCCAGTACATGGTTCAGGGCAGGATGAACCTGCCCATCTGGAATTTCCGGGACGAGATTTTGAACACTCTAGATACACACCGCGCGCTTATCATTTGCAGCGAGACGGGAAGTGGTAAAAGTACCCAGATCCCGTCATTCATATTGGAACATGAGATGCAGCAAGGCCGCCCTTGCAAAATTTACGTCACAGAACCGCGCAGAATTTCCGCTATATCATTGGCTCGACGAGTCAGTGAGGAGCTTGGGGAAAATAAGAACGACGTTGGGACAGCTCGCTCTCTTATTGGATTTGCTGTCAGGCTGGAAAGCAAAATCAGCCAGGCCACGAGGCTTGTGTTTGCGTATGTCGCTGTTCCCTATAATTCGCCGAGTGCTTGCGACTGACTTTTGGTAGAACCACGGGAGTCGTGGTGCGAATGCTGGAGCGTCCGGACGATTTCCGAGACATCACACATGTCGTTCTTGATGAGGTTCATGAGCGTTCTATTGACAGTGACTTCCTTCTCATCGTTCTCCGCCGACTGATGGTGAGAAGACCTGACCTGAAGTTGATACTGATGTCGGCTACACTTGAAGCACAACGCTTCTCGACATACCTGGGCGGGGTCCCTGTGCTGAATATACCTGGGCGGACTTTCCCTGTAGAGATGAAGTTCTTGGAAGACGCTGTTGAGATGACTAACTATCGACTGCTTGAGAATGAGTCGAATGGTGTCTTGGACGAAGACTCAGATGAGTTGGCGTCTGAGATGGCTCAAGGTGAGGCAGCGGGTGGCGGTCTTTTATCAACGCTTGATGGGTACTCGAAGCAGACCCGTGAAACCATCCTGAAATTCGACGAGTATCGCCTCGATTATCAACTCATCAAGCGCCTTGTCGCCAAAATCGCCACATCGCCCGACATGACTCATTACAGCAAAGCTATTCTCATCTTTATGCCCGGTATGGCTGAAATCCGCCGCCTGAACGACGAGATCCTCTCCGATCCCACTTTCCAGCAAGGCTGGATTGTGCATGCCCTGCACTCTTCCATTGCCAGCGAAGACCAGGAGAAGGCTTTTGTCGTGCCTCCAGAGGGCATGAGAAAGATTGTGATTGCCACCAACATAGCTGAAACAGGTAATAGTCATAGATTCTGACTACCGTAATTGTACTAACCAGGGCCAGGTATCACGATTCCGGATATCACTGCTGTGATCGATGCAGGCAAGGAGAAGACCATGCGGTTAGTATCGAGTTTGCAACAAGCATGTCGACTCCCCTCTAATGAAAAATAGGTTTGACGAGCGACGTCAACTTTCACGACTTGTGGAAGCATTTATCTCACGCGCTAATGCGAAACAACGTCGAGGACGAGCTGGACGAGTACAGAACGGAATCTGCTTCCACATGTTCACCAAATATCGGCATGACAACGTAGTATGTGTTCCATGATAACCAGATTAGCTTCTACATGCTAATCTTCTGATTGCAGCTTGCGGAACAACAAACGCCAGAGATGTTGAGGTTGTCTCTCCAAGACTTGGTACTGCGAGTCAAAATATGCAAGCTGGGCGAGGTGGAACCTACCCTACTAGAAGCGCTCGATCCACCATCATCCAAGAACATTCGCCGTGCGATCGACTCATTAAAGGAAGTCAAGGCTCTGACGAATGCAGAGAATTTGACTCCTCTCGGAGTGCAGCTGGCCAAATTACCATTGGACGTGTTCCTTGGAAAGTTGATCATTCACGGCGCCTTCTTCCGGTGCTTAGATGCCACCGTCAGCATTGCAGCCATTCTTTCGTCCAAGTCACCTTTCGTCAACACGATGGGATCTAATACGCAGAAAGATATAGCTAGACTGTCATTCCGCAAAGGTAAGCTACCGACGTTACCCTGAGCTCCTCGACACCAGACTAATAGAACTCTTTTCTTGTACAGGTGACTCGGACCTCCTGACAGTATACAATGCATACTGCTCTTGGAAACGCACAAGGAACACACCTGGTGCAAACGAGTACGCGTTCTGCCGGAAGAACTTCCTCAGCTCACAAACATTGCTCAATATCGAAGACATCAAAATGCAATTGGTAGTGTCAATTGCTGACGCCGGTCTCTTGACCCTCGACCCGATACAGAAGGCTGCTTTGAATAGGTAAGCTAGTGGCCCCCCCCCTCAAACTTCATTGTGGTTCAAGCCTCACTGACTCGGAAAGATCGCGCTACGGCGGCCGCAATCGACAATTTTTCGTCATTCCTGAAGAATATGACACCAATAGCATCAACGACACGGTCGTCAACTCGGTCATATCTTGGAGTTTCTATCCAAAGCTGCTCACCCGTGAAGGCAAAGGCTGGCGCAACGTCGCCAACAATCAATCCGTTACCCTTCATCCTACTTCTGTCAACCGCAACCCGGACCCATCTTCCCCCCCTCTCAAATGGCTTTCTTATTACAACATCATGCAGGGCCGTAACCGAAATTATAATGCTTTTGAAACAAGCGTTGTCGATGACTTTGCCATTGCCATACTCTGCGGAGAACCTGAATTCAAGGTGCGTTTCTCACTTCCCTTTGTGGATCATCCCACTACCTGGCATGGGGCCATACGCCATCGCCAATGATCCCCTTACCTTGAGTATACACACCGAGCGAGCGAAGATTAACACCCGTTTTAGATGTACTCCGGCGTCATCTCCATCGACGCCAACCGCATCCGCTTCTCCATCCGCGACTGGAAAGCCATGCTGGCGCTGAAACTCCTCAGCGCCCGTCTGCGCGAGATCCTGCAGGCGACCTTCCGCGAGCCCCAAAAACTCACCTATCCTTCCTACAAGCAGCAACAGTGGATTGCGATCTGGCAACGGATCTTTGAGCAGGCGCATGCTGCCAAACGAATTCCTTAAAGTTTATAGATTCTTCCTTTCTAGAATCCCGTGTGGAGAATCTTTCGAAGTTTGTCTTTCTATTGTTTTTTAATCTTTCTCCCCTTCTTCTTTTCTGTGCAGATATAGCTGGAGTGGACGGTGGCTTATGTGAGTTTGGAAAATAAAATGGGCTCTCGTTTCCGTTTCCATGGTGCTTGTCCGGGTTTTTGGTACAGTACATACGCGCGAAGGGGTTGTTGGCGACTGTATACATCATAAGACCTTTTGCTCTCGCTTTTGCGTCCTCGCTTCTGGTGGAATCATTTTTTGTTTCGACTTTTCTTCTGTTTTCTTGTCCAAGGCAAAAGTTATTCAAATTCTTGAAGATGGTTGGACGGTTTTATAGATGAGATACACGCTTTCTATTCACATCTACAAACTGAGTTCATCTTGCGCTGTACATGATCGGCTTGCAAAGAGAACATAATGAAGCGAGGTGCATGGATTGAATGATTTTTTTCATAGGTATACTACACTTCATGGTTGCAAGTGGCCAGTTTGGCCATTTCGTCTGTCTTTCCTTAAGCACTGCCAACAAGATCATTCCACCTACAATATACTGGTTCTCACACTTGATCGTAACGCTGAATCTGATTCATTACTCATTAGAAAATATCTGTAAGACCACAAGAAAGCTGAAACCCTGCTGAAATTTAGAGCACGAGATTCAACTATCTAGCCCCAAACATCTTCTTGCCACTTTCCCTTCCTCTTGAAGGCTTTACTCCAATCGTTCCACTCCGCATCACTCCATCCCTTCATCTTCCGCATGGCCTGGCCGACCGTCTTCTCCACCTCGCGCGCCATTCCTGCCCGCCCGCAAATGTACACGTTCGCGCCCTCCTCGATCAGCCTGACCATGTCTTCGCCGTGCTCCCCGACCCGATCTTGAACGTATTGGCGAGGCGTCTCCTCGTGCCGGGAGAAAGCCGTCACGATGCGGAGACGGTCACTCAATGCGGTTTGGAGAGCTTCCAGCTCTTCGCGATAGATGAAGTCTTCATCGGGCCGCCGGCAGCCGAAGAATAGGATCATCTCCCCGACATCACGGCCGACCTGCTGCAGCTGGCGGCGCTCGGCGATAAAGGCCCGGAAAGGGGCCAAGCCCGTTCCGGCGGCGACCATGATGAGCGGACAGTTGGCTAGGCGAGGTAGCTTGAATTTGCTCTTGCGGAGGTGAGCTAGGACTTGGCCGCCCTCGAGCGCGTCGCTGGGGCCGGGGAGGTAATAGGTGAGGCCGTGAGGGTGAGCACCGGTTGCAGCGTCGCGATAGTGCTCCGACAAGGCGAGGAGGTAGTTGGAAGTCACGCCATGGATGATTTCTGTGGGTTTCTCGGGGACGGGGCTTGAGGCGACGAGGACGGTGATGGAGGGTTTGCGAGGGGAGAGAACACTACTTGATGAGATTGAGTAGTAGCGGGGCTGGATCGGGGACATGGTTTCAACAAGATATGACAGGGGCAGTTGCGTCCAGATCTGACGGGGAGCGGCCAGCTGAAGAAGACGGCCAAGATTGACATGGGTGCGACGAAGGAAGTCAGCGTATGCGGCCTTGTCTTGGCCAAGGCGAAGCAGAAACGCCTTGGCTTCTGGCGTGGGCGCAAACGGGGCCAGCCCCAGAATTTGGTCTCGGTTGACCAGCGCTCCGATCTCAAGGTAATAGCGAAAGAGCGCAGCGGGGGTCGTAGGCGTGGGGATCTTGACTTTGGTGGCTGCGTCCACGGATCGGATTACAATGGGCACATGACGACGGTCCGTGCGGCCCAGCACTTGTAGTAGACGCTCGACCTCGACGTCAGGGTTGCCAGGCCATATGGCTAGGTGGTCACCAGTCTTGTAGGTAAATTCTGGCTGACGAGTTAGGTCTAGGTCCAAATGCAGGCAATGGCGGTCCGCCGTCGAGAAAAGCTGCCGCGCGCTGGACACAGGGAGGGCGCGTATGGCGGAGCACTGCGCAGACACCTTGCCTGAAGGATCGCGAGCATCTGGTACACCATGATGGATGTCGATGGGCTCCAGTGATTCATCTTCGTCCACTGTCAATGTAGGTAGGTATTGAGCTTCGCCTTCCTCAAAGCCCAGCTGGGTGCGGCAGGCAGCGAAGAGGTCGTCCTTCCAGCTGATAAAGTCTTCTTGCGTGGTACCTTCAGCATCATTGGCTCTGCCTACAGACAGCAATGATCGAGCACCGCGCTGCTCTAAAGCCTGGACAACCACGTCAACGACTCGGTTGTAGAACTTGTAGTTGCTGTTGCCCAGCCCGAAGGCGCAGTAGCGGAGATTGGATAGTGATCCCTCGGGGGCCTTCTGAATCCAATCCCAAAATTCCGCTGTGTTGTCACTCGGATCCCCCTCTCCATATGTAGAAAGCAGAAAAATGGCTATTTTGGAGCTTGGAATCTCGCGGATTGAATCTGGATCATAATCTGACAGATCTGCCGTCATGGTGGACTGCTGGAAGCGCAAGGCGATCTCGCGTGCTAGGCGATGAGCAAAACCCTCTGCAGTCCCCGACTGGGAGCCCCAGAAGACGACAATGTTTTTATCCGCCTCAACGAGTTTCTGGGCAATATTGCGTGTTTCTTGATGTGCGTTGGTGCCGGATGCACCGCCCATCCTCAATTGAGGACGCTCATAGAGCAAATGACGGTAGGGGTCAGGCTGATCCCAGAGCACACCACGAGATAGATAGGTAGCAGCGGCCATCGACAGGACCGTCAAGGCGGCATAGTCGGCGGTCCCAGTAGGGGTCAAGCACCTGGCCAGCTGTTGCAAGGCTTCAGGTGAAAGATGCCATGGGGCACTCATGCTGGGTGAGTGGAAGGTGATGGATGACGGTGTCTGATCAAGATGGTTCACAAGATGGGAAGCAATGCTTTCTTAAAAGCCTCACCGCAGCCAAGTCTTACTCAAGCCACCCTACTGGCTTGAATTGGTACTGTAGGTCTATGGATAGGCCGGGTCGGCATTTGACGGCCTTTCTCCATCTGTAGACGGGGCGGAGCGGAGAGGTGTGGGGAGAGGCGAGGGGGAATTGGCGAAAGGCGGGGGAGAAGCGGGGGAGGCGAGAGATATTCAAAATGGAAACCAAGGAGGTTTGCAGGTGGAGGTTTTGGAGAGCATGAGTTGTCCCTGCTGGTGTGTGAGAACGATGACACTTTCACTTCTACTCCATCATTGTGGAAGTATTCTCTCCGTACTAGGTAAAGGAAAGGGAGATATTCCCCGCTCACGGACAATATTTCCTCCCCTGGCCTCTACGCACCCGCGCCAGTTATTTACCCCATTGGGACAGACCCTCTTTATCCTGTCTCGGACACTTTCTCCCCTTCAGGCTCAAAGTTCATTCAACAGTTCCTCTCCAGTCTCCACCATCCATCCATCCATCCATCATCATCATCCCCACGGGGAACCTTTGCAAATCCTTCACATGCATATTACATGCAGAATACTGTGGCATTGAGCTATGTCCGTGCACGTCGATCTCTCGAACAAAGATTACACAACAGGTCATTCTCCAACTGATCTGTCTCGCTCGGGTATGTACTGTAGTGGTGCAACACCACCTAGGCATAGAAGGGTTACTGCAGGAATTGATCTTCGATTTCCAATAGTTACACTGCGATCAATCTATGCAATAAGCTTGTGTGGGGCAAGCAACAACAAATAAAAGTCATCAGTCATCAATTGGATCATCCTATGCCTTATGCCTCGAAATCTAAGGTGAAAAGGTAATGTGAGAAGACGCAAAACAGTTGGGGCAGAAAGCCAAGACTACGAGTCATGCATCGGTACTTTTCGCCGCCAAATCTTCACAGGCATATCACCCAAAATAAGATTCATTGTCTCCTCTCGCTGCAGTTCCCACTCCGGAGACGGCAGGGCGAACTCATACCGGCGTACCAAGGTCGCCAGAATTTTGGCCTGCTCTAGGTACGAGATGTTGCGTCCAATGCATGAACGGGCGCCAGCTGAGAAGGCAATGAAGTACGGCTGCAATGCTTTCCCTTCCTCGCCCAACCAGCGCTCTGGGATGTACTTGTCGGCTTGGCGAAACGCTCTCTCATCTCGATGAGCCACAAATGCCGACATGCTGACGGAGGTGTTGCCTGGGACCCACTGGCCAAGGATCTCCATTCCCTCCGGTGGCGTTTCGCGCGGCAATCCGTGAGAAGTAGGTGGGAAGATACGGAGCGACTCGTCCAGACATGCCCGTAGATAAGGCAGGTGCTTTACTTTGTCGTATGGCGCAATGATCTCGTCCGGGTCAAGGACGGCATCCACTTCAGCTCGCAGCTTCTGCAGACATTCGGGGTTCTTCAGCAGCTGGTACATCACGTTGGTGATGGCGATGGCGGTGGTCACACTGCCTGCGTTCATCATGATATTGACCTCAGCCAGCACCTCGCCCCATTCGAGTTGGTTGGCACGGCCGTTCTTGTCCTCCATCAATGCTTGGAAGAAGTCATCCAGTCGCTCGCCTTCTTCATACCGTCGCAGCCGCTCGGTTCCGCGACGCCAGATGATGTTGTCCCAGTGATCGGAGGACTGTTGCATGCGCTTGAAATACGGGATCACGTTCACCAGCCGGTTGAGGGTCGGATACCACTCGTAGTTCCAGAGGATGAGTGATTGTTTCCGCGCTGTAGGGTAGAGAGCCTCACGCAGGGACACCTCATACGTGCTACCATCCTTGCGCTCCGCCACGCAGAGATCATGTCCTTGATCTAGGAAGCCCAGCTTCTCTGACAGACCAATGTCGGCAATGGCATCTAAAGTGAAAAAGTTTGTCCACGCCCGGAAATCCAGAGTCAAGTCAGCTGGATCGGGAGCTTGCTTTCCCGCTGCCACTGCTGCGGACGGAGCTGCTGTGCACACACGGTCAAAGTGTGCGACCACCTTCTCGCACTTGTCGCTGACCTTGTGCTCCCATGTCTCCAAATTCTTCAAAGCATATGCCGAAGACAGAACTTTGCGCTTCCGGGCATGATCTGGCTTGTTCACGACATCGGCCAAATGGTAATGAGTGCCTGCCGTGATGACGTACGACGGGTCCTTGATGCACTTGGTGTTGTGTCCATAGATGTCCTTGATGGCGCGCACGTCTCCGTATGACAGCATATTAGGGCCCGTGCGGATAACGGGCTTCTCCCGGTGTAGCTCCATCAGCTCGCGAGAGCGGAATCCACGTGAAGCCATGAACATGAAGGGGATTACAGACATCCCTGAGATAGGAGTCAGATTAGGATATTTCCGCAGCCCTTTGAAGAGGTTAGCGGTTATGAACCTCGACGAGTTTTGCGTCCCTGATGCCTACCTTTCGAGTCGCGGAGGTACTGCATAAATGGCCAAATGAAAAGATACAAGATGCCTACCAGCCCGACCACAAAAGCATACGGCGCAACGCTGAACATAGACAACATATCGGTGGCCATGGTTTCCACCGTTCTCTCCGGTTGAAGAAGGTCTGTAAAGCGAAGAAAGGGTGATCGAGCCCCAAAGGGAGACTAGTTGTCTGCGAAGATCAAGCTCGAGTCAGATTGTATGCCAGCTGGTTTCTTGCCAGGGTGCTGGGAGGCAGTACTTATAACCTCAGAAGAAGCAAGAAGTGGCATTCGCACAATTTTTGAGTACCCGACGAGGAGCTGAGCATCCTGCTGAAATCAGAGACCGACTTGCGCGTACAGTGAAACCATGGGTGAGTACCACAAGGGTCATGTCATCATCTACTGTCTCCTCTTTTCTTCTCCACCTTCACTTTTCCTAACATCATCGCCATCGTTTCCAAACGCAAGCAGCAGGTCGGGTAAAACTACCCTTCGTGGCAACCAGCAAGAGCGGGAAGAATTTCCTCTAGAATTTAACACACTCCGGGATAAAAAGCCTCGTTGAACTCAAACAACGAATCAAAACCAATCCATCGAGGGCGGTTTCTTCAAGAACGGGAGGCATATCCTTGGTCGAGGTCAAGTCCTTGATCGACAAAGAGGATCCAGGCGGCATTTGAGAACTATGACCCTGGTTGGCGAAGCAGCGAATCAAGTCGCCGCGATATGGAGCAAGTAACAGGCATCTGGGGAAATCCGGGGTATTCTGTCAACCATGGAACCGTGCCGAGCCATGAAGCAATACCCGAAACTATGTCCATCTGAGGGGGAATGAACATGGGTACTGTCAAGAATGTCGCTGCCCCCTCACGACCAGCCAACGATGCTCAGCGTAAATAAGCCCGAGGATTTCGTCAATCTGGTCTATTCCCATTTCTGGTCAAGGTGTCTCTGCGCCGAATGTAGATTGATCCGTTGGGATTGTTCAACCTAGACTGCTCGGGAGCACACAGTGTTCTACTCTACCCTCATTCTACCATGGCTGCCGCCGAAGAACTTTCTAAAAAGTCATCAAACGACGAGGTGAAGCCACATGTGTTTCATGACGAGAACCTGGTGGTCAGTAACGGCCTAGATGACTCTATTGAGTCAACGCTGCCGGGCAAAGCTATCTGGTTGATAGCGTGCACTGTCTCTATGGGGGGATTTCTCTTCGGTAAGCATGTTATCCAGGATCCCGTCGTGTTGTTCGGCAACGGCAGCAATGGAATTATTCCCCTCTCCTGAGCTTCAGCCCCCCTTGCGTTCAGCAGATGTACTGACCACTTCTTATCGGGGCTATTGCAGGCTACGATACTGGTGTCATTTCGGCCGTGCTTGTCAATCTGGGAGATGATTTGGGCCAGATCTTATCGTCCAGTGATCAGGAATTGATTACATCTATCACCTCTGGAGGGGCCCTCATCGGCGCGGTCCTCGCCGGCTTGACTTCCGACAAGTATGGGCGCAAGCTAGCCATCTACGTTGGCTGTGCTGTCTTCTTCGTAGGGACGGTCTTGCAAGCTGCATCATTTTCTCTGGCACAGATGGTGGTTGGTCGATTGATCGTTGGCTTTGGTGTAGGGGAGGCAGCCATGATCGTGCCTCTCTACATTGGAGAGATGGCTCCGGCCCGGTATCGCGGTCGAATGATCGTGTTTGACAACATCTGTGTGACATTTGGACAACTCATTTCCTATGCCCTCGGAGCTGCGTTTACCAACGTCTCCCAAGGATGGCGATACACCATTGCTATCGGCGCTGTGCCGGCTGTTGTCCTCGCGGCTACAATGCCACTCTGCCCTGAGACTCCCCGACAGCTAGTCTCCCATGGCCGAGACGAGGAAGCCAGAAAGGTCATCGCGCAGATCTTCCCTCGGGCAACGGATCAGCAGGTTGCCGCCAAGATCCAGGTAATTCGACATAGTATTGAAGAGTCCTCGGTTTCGGTGTCAGAGAAGAGTCTGTGGTGGCAGGCCAAGCAGCTCTTTACCGTGGGAGAAAACTTGCGCGCCTTGATCACTGCCTGTTCCGTTATGGCCGGTACGTCCTTCTCTTGTCTCCGGGCCTTGGAAAGTCCACGCTGACGCACGTTAGTCTCACAACTCGGAGGATTCAACACGTTGATGTACTACTCTGCCACGCTGTTCTCCCTGGTTGGTTTCAACCAAGCAACGGCCGTATCCATTGTGGTTGGGGCAACAAATTTCATCTTTGGCTTTCCCAACTTCGCCTTCATTGATCGATTTGGCCGACGTTCGATGCTGCTGGTCACACTTCTAGGGATGGTAAGCAGTACCTTTCGCTGACTTCACTTTTGCGTATCTTCTCGCGTTCCTGACGCCAAGCCATCTATAGTCTCTCTCGCTGGTTGTCGTTGCCGTCGTCTTCCATTGGATCCCTGTCAACTCGGACCTCAGCTTTTCCGGCCCTCGTGAGATG